CAAACTCATAGAGATCTGCCTGCCTCTGCCTCCCAGAATGCTCAGATTAAAGGCGCGTGCCACCACAACCGTCTTTTTCCTTTTTCCTTTATTTTTAAGATTATTTGTGCGTGTTCCTTGTTTGTACATTTGTGCGGGTGATGTATGTGCGTGGGCAAGTGAAGGTCAGAGGTCGGCATCAGGTGTCCTCTCTGTGTTCTGTCCACCTTAGTGTTTGAGACAAGGCCTTGTACTAAACCCGAAGCCGCTCAATCCCTTCGAGGGACCCAGGGATCCTCCTGGCTCTGCCTCCCCAGGGCTGGAATCGAACCCAAGGCCTTGTACTTGTTAGGAAGACATAAACTTACACACTCTTTTTTATAGCTGTATTCACCTGCCAAGCAAATCTCCAGGGCCGGAGGGTGTGAGTGGGGGATGGTGCACAAAAGGCAGGGTCCCAGGCTGCAGTGGTTGGTGTCCTGCAAGTTCTGCAGGTGCTCATGCAGCGCCCTCGGCAATGCCTGCTGCTCACAGTAGGTTCACTTCACTGAGCTGTCAGAACTGCGGCTCCCACGAGTTGGAGAAAAATAAGGTTGACTTGGAAGTGGGGGCGGGGGGACGCGAATGAAGCTACAGAGACATGCTCCAACCCCACAGCTCCCACACTCGCCTTCTGTGTTCCAGCTCTCCTCGTTGTTGGGAGCTCCTGTGCTGGTCTTGGAGCCTGCAGCCCTGACCTGCCAGGGGTCTGTGTCCCTGAGGACTGTCTTTACTTGGCCTTCTCTGGGTACCACTCCTCTCCACCTGCAGAGCGGCTGTATGAGTGGCAGTGGTGTCACACCAGCTCCAAAGAAAGCCTGACTTGGACTGAGCCAAAGGGTTGTTACCTGCCCGGTCATCTCATCTTGACTGGCTCACAGCTATGCAGGCTCAAAGCAAACGGATGCTCTTTCCCCTCAGTTCTGGGGGTAGGTAGCGTGCGGTCCCTCTGAACTTCTTCATCTCTAATGGTCACTTCCAAACCTGAGGCACCCTGCTGGAGGCCGCAGCCCACCCATCTCTGCCTCCTCGAGGTGCCATCTGTCACCAGTGTGTCTCGGATTCACACAGCATTCTCTCACGAGGCCACGTTTGTATTGGAGGGCAGCCCATTCTAATGACCTCAACTTGATGACAAATGCAAAAACCCTATTTCCAAATAAGGTCTCATCCTCAGGTTTGGATTTGAGAGTTGAACTTAGTATTTGGGACAGAGTTCAACAGCAGGTGTCCCAGCCAAAGCCACTGACAGACCTGCAAGATTTTTCTAGAACTGCTGGGTAAAAGGTTGATGGGTGTCTTGCATCTTCGTCAGCCTGGCCCTGTGAGTCACTCAGTTTCTAGCTCACCAGACTGGAGGCTGGCCCAAGGCCCCTGGGTACTCATGCCTCCCTTCTGCTTAGGACCAAACATTCCAAGTCACCCCTTCCCTCCTTCTTTCCTTCCATCTATCCTTCCTTCTTTCCTTCCTTCCTTCCTTCCTTCCTTCCTTCCTTCCTTCCTTCCTTCCTTCCTTCCATTTATCCTTCCTTCCTTCCATCCTTTTCCTCTTTCTTTCCCTTCCTTCCTTCCTTCCTTCCTTCCTTCCTTCCTTCCTTCCTTCCTTTCTTTCTTTCTTTCTTTCTTTCTTTCTTTCTTTCTTTCTTTCTTTCTTTCTTTCTGCTTTGTATGTTTCCATAACCAATCAAACCCCATGTTCAGCCTACCCTCCTGGGACTACAGCACTTCAGACTTATCATTTGGCCAACCATTTGTCCCGAAACTTGAAGAGCTAAGGAACCATTTACTGCCCAGGCTGGATGTAAGTCCCTGGGACTCAACTCCCCAGTCTAGGCTTTTCTATCACAAAACATATGTGCTACTAAGTATAGAAACTCTGCTTATTGTCTTACGTCACTGTTCTATTGCTGTCAAGAGATACCATGGCCATGACAACTCTTATGAAAGAAAGCATTTAACTGGGGTCTTGTTTACAGTTTCAGGGGCTTAGTCCATTATCATCATGGTGGGAAGCGCTTTTAGTGCTGGAACAGTGGGTAAGTGCTACATGCTGATGCACAGGCAGAGAGAGAGAGAGAGAGAGAAAGAGAGAGAGAGAGAGCTAACTGGGCCTGGCATGGGCTTTTGAAACCCCAAAGCCCCCCACTCCCACCCCAGTGACACACTTCCTCCAACAAGGCCACCCTTCCTAATCCTTTTAAACAATTCCACTCCCTAGTGACCAAGATTCAAACATACGAGCCTGTTTGGACCATTCTCATTCAAACCACCACAGTCTTTTATCATGCCTTCTTTCCTAGAAAGCTTTGTATCATGCAAGGAAAAACCCACTCCTCTTGATGTACATCCTTGTCAACAGGGACTTCTGAGTCAGCTCTGCTAGGGCCCCTCCCCATGCTACTCCTTCCTCCAGGGGCTCAGATACCCTGATATTTTCGCCTTGCACAGGACAGCCCTCACACCATCCATCCCTAGGCCACAGTCGTAGACAACTCCCCTGGTTACCTCTGCCTTCTTGCCTAGCAGAGTCCAAGCCTGTCACTGTTCCCGGATCCATGGTCCCATAAGTGTATGGGAGCTAGCTCATCCATATCAACTCTGTCCAGGCTGACCGCTGGCTACTGTTAGACGTGTCATGACCAGTTTGGGCTGCGCTGCAGACCTGCTGCAGCCTGTGTTCCTCTGTGCAGCCTAAAACTCTCTGAACTTCACCCCAGGTTCAGCACCCAGGGAGGCCCTATGTGTGTCCCCATGCTTGTGGCTGCTTGCCTTAATGACAGGGCTGTGGCCCCCTGAGGGCTGGAACCAGGGCAGGGGATACTATTCAGGGGGCCCCTGGGTGGGGTACCGTGATCTCAGTGTGAATGTACAAGGGAGGGGCTTTTAAAAGGGTGTTCAAAGAGAGGGGTCTGTGTGAGGGCCCCCAGGGCAGTGCCAAGGATAGGCCTCAAGCCACACAGCTTCGGGCTCTTGTGAGCCAGCTGTCCTTGCTTGGATGGTCAGCACGCACTGCTTCTTTTTAGTCACCTGCTTACTCACCTGCCAAACTTCAGGAACCTCGTGTACAAAGGAGGTCGTGTAGCCACTAAGCTGCCGGGATCCATGGAGTGTGGCTATTCGAGCCTTTGAAACAGAGGAGGGGTGACAAGGCTGGAGGGTTCGGCTGGGGAGGTCGTCCATCCTTATCCGGGACGTCCAAGCTCAATATAGGACCCTGACCCGGGGCAGGTGAGAAAGGGGGAGGCTTCACCAAATAGGTTATAACACCTTTCCAGACTTGGGCCTCTACTATCCCAGCCACAGGCAGCTACAGGAAGGCTTGTACAGAAATTTGACCTGCTTCTGTCTTGGGTAGCAAACCAAACCAGAGGCTGGGTATCAGAAGTAGGGACCCCTAGTCCACTACTCTTAGCTACAGAGGCCCAAGGATGAGTGAGGAGAAGGGGAGAGAGGGCCATCCCAGAAAGCACCCTATTTGAGATAAGGCTCAGAGACTGGATGGGACAGCTGTTCCTAGGAACTCCACAGTCCCTTACAGAAGCAGGGTAGGCAGGAGGGGGCGAGGCCTGCATGCCAGGTATGTGCAGGTTTGTGTGGGGACACACCCTTCCAGCCCACTGAAGCTTCCCCTAGGAATGCACACACTTGGTGCTTGGCCTGGGGTGGGGGCTGAGAATAAAAAAGCAGGCAGGAGAGGGTGGGCCGTCCTAGGGTGTGAGACAGACAAGCCCTCCTGGGAGAGGCGTCCACCAGCCATCCACCCACAGTGCGTCTGTGGCCTGCCCTGGCCTGTCAGCCTGCCCATCTCACCCAGCATTTTCCATGGAATGTTCCCAAGGTAACAGCAACACAAACTCATGACAAAGGTGAACCCAGGCAGGGGCAGGTCTCAGGGTGGGGTGGGGGTGGTGGGTGGTCACAGGCTTGGGGTGGGTGGATGGGGCAGGGCTAGCTTTAGGCTCCAGGGACTCCAAAGTCACATTTGTCAGTGATGTGACAATGAGGAAGGGCCTGGGACCAGCATGGTCCATGGGCAGAGGAGGGCTTTCAGCTTGTCTGTCGAGCACAAGTTTCACTCCTTGATGGGAGACTCAATGATGGTTGGGTAGAGGGTGAGTGGAAGGGCTCATGCTGGAGTCCATAGTCCATGAAACAGCCATCTCCCCCCTGTAGAGGACCCCCGGAACATCCACATCCTCCTCCTCTTCTCCCTAGTGGGGATACCAGGTTACAGGAAGGGCTAGCTCATTCCAGGCTCAGGTGGGGGAGTGTGTGGCAAGTGTGAGCAGACCAGTCTAGGGTGCCAGGAAGTCTTGGGTGGGGGTTGTCTGAGTCCCGTGGAATGGCCATGTGATTGGGAGAGGTTGTAGTCCGGGATTCCCTGGGGGCTGCACAGCTGTGGGAAATTCCCATGACTTTCCCTCCTAAAGTGTGTGTTGACGCCCCCATTTCTTATACTTGCTAGCCATCTCCAGGGCAGACCTGGCCCCCACTATAGCAGCTGCCTTTCTTTGGCCTCCTACTCCCAAAAAGCTTATGGCCATGTGAGTGGCCTGTTTGAGGCTTGGGTGGGAAGTGAGCTCCCTGAACCCCTCTTGCCGGGCACAGGAACTGAGGGGGGAGGGGCCAGAAACTGCTGCCAGAAGCCCCTTCCCCTTTGCAGCCCTTCCCCCACCCACATGACTGAGGATGGGCATTGGGTTTCCCAGGAAACTGTAAGAAGAAAAGTGCTGGGGCCAGACTGTATGGGGCTGGTGAAGCCGTGGCTTGAGGGAAGGTAGGCAGAGAGAGGTGAGAGCTGTTCCCCCTAATCCCCTAGGCCAGGGCAGTCCACCCAGTCCCAGGAAGTGTCCCCAGCACCAGCCGGTGAAAGGATGGGGGCAGGCGGTCCCGTGTACCCCCCCATCCTCATCTGGGTCCTCCTGTCCTTACAGGTCTGCCCTTGCTGTCCTGGATACCCCTCAACGCGCTCCGCATCCACAATGGGAAACCCTGTTTCAAGGCTTGGCTGCCTGGGGGAGAGGAGGAGCCGCACACGCGGCAGCCCAAGACCTCACAGCAGCCCCAGGACCCGGGGGGATCTCTCTCCATCTGTAGCTCCTCCTCGGGGCCCACTTCCACCAGGGATCCCCTGGGCCTGGTGGGGCTCTCATGCTGTCCAGGTGACAGAGGTCACAGAGACCGTGGTGACAGAGACAGTAGTGACCGAGGCCGTGGAGATGGGGCCCTGCAGGCAAAGAGGGCAGCTGGTTCAGGTGAGGCAGGACAGCTCTGAGTGTGGGGAGCCTAAGAGGAGACCAGATGAGGTGAGTACATCCATCTTTCAGGTACCTCTAGCGCCCCTGGACACGCTGTGCAGCTGGATGGATGGCATGGAGGAACTGCAGGCCTCGCAAGGACCCCTGGCTGCAGATGCTGCTTTGGCTGCTTCCCAGCTGCGGGAACAAGAGGTACGGGGCCAGGGGCTAGGGACAGGTGGTGACATTTTGTCCTCTGGACCCCAGGCCAAGCCTGGCTGGCAAATGACAGTGGTCACTGTGTGTTTGAATACACCTTGGTCCTCCAGGGTGGGCTGAAAGAAAACACCCATTAATGTTCCCAAGTGATTCCCCTTGATTAAAAATGAGGGCCAGTGGTGGGAGGGCAAGCAGGGAGCCCAGAGCCCTTCACAAGTCCCCCAACCTCACGTCTGGCAGCTGCTCCTGCGGCTGCTGAGAGAGCGTGCGCCACACACGGAGCCAAGATTGCAAGAGGCTGGGAGCCCGTCAGAGCTGTGCGCACAATGGCACCGCCTAGTACAGCAGGCAGAAACCAGGTGAAGCCACGGGTGGGGGCCCGTGAGGGTGCCAGGGCAAGAAGGGGGCCATGACAGCTCCTCCATCTTTACCCCAAGGTGGAGGCTCCTGAAGCAACTTGTCCCAGCAGCCCAGAGCTTTGAAACAGCCTGTAAGACTCTGCTGGTGCAGCTGGGCCTGAGTGAACAGCTCCTGGCTGAGTTGCAGCTGGGGCCCAAGAGCCCCGAGGAATCATTGCAGAACCTCCAGGTGTGGCCCAGACTTGGGGTGGGAGTCTGTGGGCTATCACAGGCTCAGTGTCTTGTGTCTGTTCACAGGAGGTGTGTGAGGGGGTTGCAGCACGTGCCAAAGGCTTGGAAAGGGTTTTGGAGACTGGCCGGAGGCTGGCGGAGCTTCTCACTAGTAAGTGGACCTCAGTCCAGTCACTTAGTTGGCTGATTGCCCCAGCCAAGATGTGCTCAGGCTCACATTCTGGAGCCCACTGAAAACCCTACCTTTAGCCCTGAGCAGACATCTGTGCCATTTCCCAGGCACAGGACCTGCGGGTACCAAGGCCTCAATGTCTTTGTCCTCTCATCCCTGCTGCTGGTCCCCCAGTTCCCCTTCAATGTCAGCGTTTCCTCCCTGGCCTCTTGCCTCTGGCTATAGGCGACCAAGCTCAGCTGGTGCGACGGCAGCTGGATGGATTCCAGGAGCGTGTAAGGCTGACTGAGGAGCAAGTCGCCTGTGCCCAGCAGAAGCTGCTATATGCTCAAAGGACAGCGTCCTCCAAGCCCTCACCGGCAGCAGGCCTGGAGGCCCAGCTTGGACCAGAAGGGTCTGTCTCAGCACATCCTGGGCTCAAGGATCCGAAGCAGGTGACCCCACATAGAAGAAAGATGCCCGATCTACCTCATACCCTCTAAGGAGACTGCAGTCCACTGTACCAGGGCGCTAGAGTTGCTGGGAGAACGTACATTCTGTCCCTGGCTAGGGATGTCTAGAACAATGCTGGTTTTCTCCCATAGCTGAGTGTCCAGCTGGCCCAGCTAGCAGAGCGGCTTGAACAGCTGGCACAGTGGGCAGAGACTTCCAGTCAGGCAGCAGCAACCACAGTGACCATCTGGGAACCGAGCCTTTCATCAGGTACACCAGGGCCTTGGGGGTACCTGGGAATATTTGGGAGGTCATTGCCAGGCCTGGGGGTAGGATCAGGCCCAGGTGCTCAAGAAGCCAAGGTGGGGTGAGTGTGAAGGTCTTGCCAAGGCTGGGCTCTCAGGTGGTCATATCTCTCCATAGCCATGCTTCAGACAGATACGAAGCCCCTGGAGGGGCACTGGTTAGAGACTCAAGAGCAAGACACTGGGCAGGAGGCCATATGGGAGCCAGCTGTGCAGATCTTGTGTGGCCTGGCAGAGCAGGGAGCCATCGAGGAGCTGAGGCCTGAGGGTGACTGGAACCCAGCCTTCCAGGTGCCTTGAAAAACTAGGGGGAAGAAGGTATCACCAAAAATCCCTTGGGAGGAGAGGTGGCCACAGGGACACTGGACAACTAGGGTACTCTAAAGCTGAAATATTGTTTGCTGGTAGGAAGAACTGAGGCAGAGGACTCTAGGAGTGAAGAGAGTACGGCGCTGGGGAAGGGAAGTGGGAGCAGCAGAGGAATTTCTTTCTTTTTCATTTGATTGTTTGTTTTTCGAGACAGGGTTTCTCCGTGTAGCCTTGGCTATCCTAGACTTGCTTTGTAGACCAGGCTGGCCTCGAACTCACAGAGATCCACCTGCCTCTGCCTCCCCAAGTGCTGGGATCACAGGTGTGCACCACCACGCCCAGCTAGCTAGAGGGATTTCTAATGATGACTTCGTAGCTCAGTTCCCAGCTTCGGACAGCCACAAATCTCCACGTAAGGTCACAGCTCTCCCAGTGGGGTCGGGGCTTGAGACCAGCCCATCCCTGGCTGTTTGGATAGCTCCTGTTTGGACAGCACTGTTGAGCCTCCAGGCTGTATGGGTAGAGGTAGGGGCTGATGTATCTTCATGCCTTTTCTAGCAAATAGAGTCCATAATTAAGGCCAAAACATTGCTCTGAATGAGTTGCATTTATGCAACAGCTGGAAAGAAAATATGTTAGGAGGAAGATAGAAAGAAATTTCTGATGCACAGTCTGGGACTGGCCAGCATTTTTTGCCACAAAGAGGCAAGAGTGGGCTCTGCCCCATTTTCTATAACACGGGACTTCTTGAGGTTTGCTGTCCGCCCAGAAGTTCTGGGTTCCTTCACTGGTCCTCAGATTCCCTTCTCATTCTTGGGATTCTGATAGTATCCCGGGCTACTGGAACCAGCTGTCACCAACAGGGAAGTTGAAACTGTGGTTACACCCTGACTCAAAGTTCTGAGGGCTGAAAGTTTGAAGTAGACAGGGCTGGCTCCTGGGAGCTGGGAGAAAGGATTTCATTTGCCGCTCTCCTTGCCATGTACATAGTGTCTTTTTTTTCAGGTGCACTCTGTGCCTTTTTGGTGCAAATCCCAGTCCCTTTCGTAGGTGTACGTGTTTATGTGTATGTGTGCGTGCATGCTGACGTGTAGGCCAGAAGTTGACAGCTGGTGTCTTCCTCAAGCTTGAGCCACTCTATCATTTTCGAAGATTTGTTTTGTCTTTAATTCTCTCCCCCTCTCTCTCTCTTGCTGTGTGTGTGTGTGTGTGTGTGTGTGTGTGTGTGTGTGTGTTACCCACATAGACCAGAAGAAGGCGCAAGATCCGTTGGAGCTGAAGTTAGAGGCAGCTGTGAGTTGCCTGACCTGAGTGCTGGAAACTGAACTAGGTCCTCCGAGAGAGCAGAAAGTGCTCTTCACTGCTGAGCCATCTCTCAGGCCCTCCACCTTATTTGATGAGTCAGAGCCTCTCTTCCTGAACCTGCAGTTCTTATTTGTCCAGACTGGGCTGGCCATCCAGTCCCAGGAAGCTTACCTGTGCCTCTCTAGTGTTGGGATTATCAGTGTGCCCCCCATACTGATCTGTTTTATCTGTTTTTCACATAGATGCTAGGGACCAAACTCGGATCCTCATGCTTTTCAGCCAATACTTTACCAAGTGGACCATCTTCCCAGTCCCCAAATCCCCCTCTTTTTTTTTTTTTTTTTTTGAGACATGGTTTCTCTGTGTAGCCTTGGCTGTCCCGGAACTCACTCTGTAGACCAGGCTGGCTGAATTCACAGAGATCTGCCTTCCGATGCCTCCCTGGGTGCTGGGATTAAAGGCGTGCCCCACCAGAACTCAGCTTCTTCCGCTGTTTTTGGGGGTAGCAGTCACATTGGCACCTACTGTCTACCGAGGTCTCAGTCTACAGTTGGTTGTGCATGCAACTGTGTCTTTCTAAGTAAAGGTTGTACTTCGGCATGGGAATTAGGCGGTAGTGATGGTGACTACAGTTCAGCCACAGGGAGGATCTTGCTGGCTTTTTTCCCCTTCTGCTGAGCGTCAGCACAATGCTGGGTGCAGCTGCCTTCCCTTGCACTGAAAAGGCCTAGGGGTAGAAGGACTAGGCCAGCCTGTGTGGTCCTCTGGCTAATGTGATGGATAGTGTGAGTCACAGGGTGAATGGAGTAAGGAAGAGGGCTCAAGATGTGAGGCACATGGAGGAGAAGAGATCTCGCCCCTCAGCTTTTCCCACCCGGAGAGCCAGCAGTACAGCGGGCTGTTCCCATGGCAGGAGTTCCTGTGGGGACAGCAAACCCTGGCGGTGTCATGGTTGAGGAGGCAAGGAGACACTGTCCATGGGAGCACCTGCCCCTTGGACCTACTGATAGACCTGCTGGGCTGCCATGCTGCCCTGTCTAGCCCCTCCTGTGAGAGGTGAGCCTGCTTGCCAGCTGTCCCCTACCTGACGTGTACTGGCCCTCTCCCCAGCTCATGTCTGTTCATCTCTTCTCCAGGATGCACGCCCTGGAAAGGATGCTGCTGCTTGTGGGCCACCTCGTAGAGAAGCTGGTCCTGTGCCCCCATAGGCTGAGCCAGGCTGAAACCTTACAGACCAAGGTGGGACCAGAGGCCAGAGGCTCTGGCCTGCCCTGTTAATTATGGATCAATCCAGGGTTAGCCTGATGACACTGGCTCTAGTGTCCTAGACCCTCTGTCCTTGAGCCACACCCTCTGTAAGACAGACCATTTGACCTTTAGGAGAAGCTGGAAGGCCTAAAGTGCTAGGCAGGACTGCTGAGAGGTTCTGGAATATGGAGGCACTTGCTCAGGAGAGGTGGTGGGCAATTTTGAGCATGGGGTCCCCCAGTTCCCTAACACTGCTCCTTAATACATAGGTGGTACAAGCCCAAAGCTGGGTGCTAGAGGAGCTGCCTGGGGCCCTGAGCCTAAAGCGCTGGACTCAAGCCTCGAGGGAGGTCCTGGCTCTGAGGAATCTTGACCAGGGGCCGCCTGGGGACCTGGGGAGTAGAGCTAAGGCTTGCCTCCTGGGGAAGATTCCAGAAGAACTGAGCTGGAGGCCGTGGTGGGCAGAGGTCGTCATGGCTAACTGGAGTCCTAGGAAGCCAGAGCATAGCAAGAGGAACCAGGAGAAAAGGGATCAGTGGGTACAGCTGGAACAGGGTCGCCAGGAACAGGTAAGGGCAGGCAGATACATGCTCTGTTTGCTTCCGGCCACATGAAAGGGGCTCGGCTTCACCTCACAGCAAGGGGACAACATATACCTGGATCTTATGGGGAAGCGGCCTATGTTGCCTCAGCCATAGAATAAAGTGGTCGGTGGGGTGGGTGTGTGCGTGTCATACCCCAAGCCACAGGCAGCACTGAAACATTTCCCAGTAGGACCTTGTGGACAGCTTCCTGGCAGCTGGGGAGCAGGACAGCGATGGACAAAACTGGCCTGGCTGTACCTGGGGGAAGTGTGGGCCTCACCACAAGCTCCCCAGTGGCCAGAAACAGCCAAACAGCCTGATCAGGTCAAGAAACACGGAAGGGACAAGTACACCAGTGACCAGGGCCAGGCCCAGGGTCCAGGGAGCCTTGGTGAGCAGGTGTGAGTGTGGAGCTGTGACTGTAGGAAGGACAGAGCCCCCAATCCCTACATAGAAGGATTGACAACCCACCTCACACCTCTTCTCCCCCCGCACCCCCTGCCACCGTGCTCCGCAGGCAGCACGAGGAGCCCTGATGGTTCGAGTTGGAGGTGGCTGGGCAGCTCTGGATGAATTTCTGGTAAAAAATGACCCAGTCAGAGGTGAGAGCTGGGGGAGGAAAGGACACGCAAGTTCTTCTGGGGCCAGGTGGTGGGTGGGTAGGAGAGGTTTGGCATCCACTTTGGCCCAGCAACCTGGGATCTCTGAGCAGCAAAGGGGAGAACCAGCCAGCAGATCCACGAAAGGTTCCTGTGCTGGACTCCTAGTGTGCCAGCCCCTGAGGTCATCACCCTGAGGCTCTGGACCTCCATCCGAATGGGCTCTAGCAGACCCCTGTCTCAGAAGGTGAGATCTGGGGTGGGCTTCAGAGCCAGGGGCCAGGTCCTCTAGATGGACCGAGGATTTAATCTGAGCTGGGGAGGAGGAACTGAACGGTGAGGTGAAGCCTGGCCATCCCTTGTAGACAGGGCTGCCAACCGGCAAAGAACACAGAGACCCTAGCTCCTACAAGGTGAAAACCTCAGAGCAGCCCACTGAGGAGAAACCGTGAAGACTCCAAGAAGAGGGACAGGAACCGGCGAGCACGATCAGGGACTGAGCAGGAGCTGGGGGGGGGGGGGGGGGGGGCAGACATAGTCACAGCACACGGAGTGGGCTTGTGGCCCTTACTCTCAGCAATAAAGAGGAGTTTGGGGAACTGAAAGTCTCCCTGGTGGGTCTTGATTTCCCTTGCAAAAGCCATTCAAAAGCCACAGGGCAAAAGCAGGTTGCTTCCGCCCACCCCCACCCCGGTGCCTGCCCCGAATTCTTTTTCAGTGACTTGTAGTCAGGAGAGAGGAAGGGAGGGACTTTGCAATTCAGCAGCCTCTCCCAGCTTGAGTGGCTCAGAGATAGCCCTGCCCCGTGCCATAGTTTGCGCTCACCTGCCCACCCCACCTGTCTTATGAGTGTCCAATCTGCCTTCAAGCCCCGCCTACCGCCCTCAATGGGGAAGGGACTTGGGTCACCACAGGGAGGGGCCACGGAGATTTAAATGCTCGTGGCGCGGGGCTCCAGTGTGGAGGGAGCAGAGAGATCTCGGACAGACGGACGCTGCGCCAGCCTTGTCGCCACAGGTGGGGAAATAAGGGCAGGTCGGAGGAATGAAACTGAAACACCTGTGGGAGCCAGAGGCCAGAGGCTCCAGTGACGGACCCAGGAGCCCAGTGTTCTGGGCCCCATTTACCACCCTGGGCAGTCTGAGCTCAGGGCTGGAGGTGGGAAGCTGCCCCGCCCGCAGCCTTGAGATAGGTGGGGAAACGGAGGCCGAGGCCCTTGCCCCGCTGCTGTGCAGACATGCACGTGGGTGGGTGGGTGGGGGCTGTCTAGCAGTCTCCAGCAGGGTCTGTGGTATGCTGTTTGGTTCTGAAGGTGGGGTAGTCCTTGCCCTCCTGCTTGCAAGAAGTGGGGTTAGTGGTGAGAAATCTTATGATAGAGGCGTTTGGGCTGACAATCTGGAGGCTCTTGGCAGCCCGGGTGAGGGAGGCATTGTTGACCGGAGGAGGAGCTACCAGCTGTCCCGGGGTGAGCAACCACAGCGATGGTCCCTTGGGTGGTATCAGGACCCATGGGAAGAAGAGGAACAGGGTTGCGTCTCTACCCCCACTTGCTTATCATGCCAATCTGCACAGGGTCCTTGACTTCTGTCTTTCGGGACAAGGTGCAACTGATACCCTTTTTCGTTTTGCTTACAATGGGGCAGAAGCCAAGTTTTCAATCTCCATGCACACTGGGCTGTCTGCCTGGCCTCCTGGTTCTGTTCTGATCTAGCTTAGTGGGTCCTTGTGCCCATCCTTGTCCCATCCTGGGGTGAGGGATCCACCCTTCAATATGGTGACAGATGTCATCCGATGCCCCAGGAGGGCTGACCCTCTTTTCTCTTGGCATCTAGGAAAGCCCGTGGTGGACCACTAGCGAGGCAAGGAGGACTTCATTTCTCGTAGACCTCTTTGCCAGGGGAGTGTGTGCTGCCTGCCTTCCCCAGCCCCTACATGGCTTACTGATGCCGCTGTCCCGGACCTGGGACCTCCATCCTTTTCCTTTACCGACACTGCCTGGGTCTCCTGCCTTCCTTGATGGAGCTCTACATACCTCTCAGGCACCTGAATTCTTGACCCGTGTGTCTGGCAAGCACTGCAGATGCCAAGCTTCTCCTCTACCTTCCCGGAAAAGAGGCAGGGCCCAGGGAGAGTCATACCAGGCCCAAGGTCACGCACAAGCCAACAGGGAGTGGCTGCCAACCACAGGCCGCATCTCACACAGCAGAACTCAGTCTCTCGCCCCACCCCTTCCCCAGAGTCCCTGCTCTCTGGATCTTTGTCAGTGGCTTCCCACCTTGAATCTCTTCTTTGTTCAGGGAACTTGAGCTGCTTGCTTAAGCTTGTGTTGGCTTCTCACCCAGGCCTTGCCTTTCTGCACAAAGCATGCTTGTCAGGGCTGGCTGTCCATGTCCAGGTCAAGAGCTACTCAAGAACCATGCCCTTCTGGTATGATTCCCCACTGTAGTCCCAAGGCTCCGGGCTCCACCTATTTCTGGGCAGTGAGCTGCTTGTCCTGGATCCTCATCCACATCTAGCCGTATGTCAAGGGATGCCAGCCTCTACCACCCCAGGGCCCCTCCTCTGTGCTCTGCCCTGTCCTGGGCAGCACCATGCATGGTTCCCTCCCCCCCACCCCCCAGCTCAGTGCAACAAAGGTACCCAAAGCAATGTTGGGAAGCAGAGTCTGGAATGAGCCATTCGGGGTGGTCTTAACATGTCTTAACATGCTACCATGGAGGAGACAAGTTGGTGACAGAGGCTGGCCTGCCATGCTGTCTAACTTGTCCCTGAAAATAGGCAAGCCTGGGCAGCCCCGTGTCTACCACAGTCACACTGTGCCTCAGAACCAGTCTCTAGGGTGCCATTGGGTGCCTACATGAGGAGTTGCAGTAGAAGAAGGTCTGGGGGTGGTGTGTGTGTGGACCTGGTCCTGTTATGGTGGCTTTCTGGTCGTACTGGGCATTTGTTGCCTCTTCCAGTCAGCCAGAAAAAAAAAAAATACCATTGACTTACTACACACTGTTGGCTGGGGTCACTGGGGCGTGACCAGACACCAGAGCCCCCTCTCTGGGAGTCTACCCTCTGGTCAGAGTAGCTGTACACTCTCATGTACTGTCAGCTGCCACATGGCTGTGAGGACTACTACATCCTGGTGTAGTGGCCCCTCTCCCCCTGCCACCACTCAGGTCTGCCCTCTCTAGTGTTTCTATTTCTCTGGACCCTGCAACTCACTCGCCCAGTGTGTAGGCTACTGCTCCCAGGCCTTGGATCCTGGGCCTGAGTTGCTCTGGGGGGGGGGGGGACCCAACACTATGGGAAAGCCATGTTTTAGAATAGAAATACTATGTCCGAGAGATGGTGCCCAGACCGCAGGGTGTCACCTGGGAGCCAAAGTCTGGGCTGTGCCTTTAAGCGGTCTCCCTGTTCTCCATCTGCCAGCTGCTTCCGTTAAGCAGTGAAAGGGCCCAGGCCAGTTTCATTGACCTCTTGGCCTTCCCGCAGTGAACACCTCATCCTCCATGGCCAAGGAACTCCTTGATTTGTTCTCCCTAAGGACATGAGGCAACCGTAAAGCAGCCCTGTGGCCCCACCAAGCTGATACAGGACCCTAGTCACTCAGGCTCTAGGAACTGTTGATTGGTCTAGGGTCCCAGATCCCAGGGTCAGGATGGTCAGGGCTCTAACTTAGGATGAATGACTTGGTTAATTCATCCCAAATTCTCAAATCCGTAGGTTCCCTCGATGCCCCTATACCCTCAATGTCCCCTCTTCACAGTCAGCCTGACCCCAGCAGGGGCCAATTTCCTATCTCCTACAGCTCAGCCTGGGGCCCCAAAAGGAGGTCAGGAATCTACCTAAGAGGATGGGAGGGGCTGGGCCAAGAATCAAGTTGGCCGGGGAAGGGATTTCCCAGAACAGGGGGACAGACAGAACACAGTGGTAAAGACCATGGGAAGCATGAACCATAAACCATGTCACTGCCAAAGCATGGTCAGTGAGTGGCTGACCAGAGCTCTTCTCCAGAAGAGCTGGCCTCTTTTGCTTTCTTCCTTGCACCCGTTTCATGTGAGGTCCCTTCTTGCCCAAGAAGTTGGAGGCTCCAAGAGTTGGAGGCTGGATTAAAACCATCTGGACTTTCTATGTCCACCCCGGCCTGAATAATGACATCGAGACTTATATTTATTTGTAATAGTTTCAGGCCTTAGAGAACTCTTGTTCTTGACTAGCTCTTACAAGCTATGTTACCCCATTTATATTAATCTATGTTCTGCCACGTGGCTTGTTTCCTATGTCTGACTTCCTCCCTGTCTTGCTTTCCCAGAGTTCCTATCTCAGCAGGAAGTCTTTCCTCCCTTTCCTACCTTTGCTTTAGGCTGGTCAGCAATTTATTTACCCAATCAGAGGGTGATGGAGACCAATGTGTACAAAATCCTGAGGCGTGGAGATACTTAATAAAAATGCCAATACAAAAGTCTGGTCTATACTCAACTCTCTGGGTACAGAAATCTGCATTTGAATAATGAAGTGCATAAGAAGATCATCCTAATGCTTCGTGGCGCCTGCTTTCGGTTCTTGTTCACACATGTGCCTATCACTGGCCCCTTCACCTGCTTGTTCTAGGGCTACCTGCTCTACTAATTGTTTTTGGAACTCTGTGTGGCTAGACCCATTTGGCTGCCCCTTCTCAGGCTCCTCGGGTCGTCGTCAGCACCTAGACTCTGCTGCTGTGTCTTTGGGGCCCTACCACTCCCTTCCTAAGAGATAAGTCAAAGACTAGCCTGGGAGGCCCAGGATCAGCACCATGCTACAAGCAAACTGCCCATGCCTGGGCCGCCTTCCTCAGAGAGCCACACACAGCCTTCCACAGGCCGCAGACGCAGCCTGACGACGGTTCATACTTCCCATGGTCCTTACCACTGTGTTCTGTCTGTCCCCCTGTTCTGGGAAATCCCTTCCCTGGCCAACTTGATTCTTGGCCCAGCCCCTCCCATCCTCTTAGGTAGATTCCTGACCTCCTTTTAGGGCCCCAGGCTGAGCTGTAGGAGATAGGAGGCCTTTGGCCCCTGCAGGGGGGAGGCTGACTGTGAGGAGGAATCTCTTCAGGTATAGGGCATCGAGGGAACCTACGGGTCTGAGAGTTTGGGATGAATTAACCAAGTCATTCTGACCACCCTGGCCTGAGACTCATGCTTGACCAAGAGTTTTGCTCCGTGTTGAGGTTTACTGTTCTGGTTTGGGGCCTCTAACAATGTAGCTGCCTGGGCCCTTCCAGTTGTCCCACTGGTCATTCCCAGCGTTTTGTGATCTTATCTCTACCACCTTATGTCTTATGTTTTTTTTTTTTTCCATGCCCCACTCTGTACCCCAAAAGCATTTTCTACTCCTGAAGAACTGAATAGTGGCTGCTAACCTTATCTTAGCAGCTTGGGCTCTGCCTGCTCTGCTGCAGGTTGGTGGTCCACACCGCTGACCTGGTCCAGGTGCCTGCCTGGTTGTAGGCTCGAAGCTTGAGACTCTGAGCAGCAGACTGACGGTAGGGTACCTCAGAAGGCTCAGGACCAGCCTGGGGGAGAGAATGAAGAAGGACATTTTGCCTAAGCTATGGCTGGCATGTCATCCCAGTAGTCTCCCTACGAGCCTTGACTTGATAGGCTGCAGAGTCTCCTCAAGTCATGTCAAGGGGCTTGAACCTATCACAGGTCCTCATGTAGGGCAATTCTTAAAGGGGTCAGTGGGGCCATCTGCTCATAACCCTCTCTAAGCTGAATGAATGGTGTCTGTTCTACCAAATCGTATGATAGCAAAGCCTGACTTATCTCCACAGGACAGACTATGCACCTGCCTTGGCCATGCTTCCCAGCAAGCCAGCCTCATTTCCCATTTACCTGCCCTCCACGTTCCACACGTGGTGTAGGCATTGGTGAGGAGCCTTAAAGGTGACTGGTGATGGCATGGAGGGCTCCTAGGTACATGGTACAGAAGCCTGGGCCGCAGGAGCAGGAAGCCTGGCTAAGAAGTGACAGAATGAGCTTTGAGGTGCTGTGGCAAAACCATGAGAACTTAAATGGGTGTGAGGTGAACCAGTGGACAGATGGCATGCAGCTGTACTCACTGAAGCACCTTTTAAGAACAGACTGGCTGGGTTCAGGCCTTTAATCCCAACACTTGGGAGGCAGAGGCAGAGGCAGATGGCTGGACTGCAGAGTGAATTCTAGCCAGAGCTACACAGAGAAACCCTGTCTTAAAGAAAAGAAAAGAAAAGAAAAAAAAACCAGATAGATAGATAGATAGATAGATGATAGATAGATACATAGATATATAGATAGATATATAGATACATACATACATTCATAGATGATAGATAGATAGATAGATAGATAGATAGATAGATAGATAGATAGATAGCAGAGCGTAAGGGGCATATAATGTATAAGAGCACCAGGTGATCTGTATCAACAAGGACACAGAACAGGATATGACTTTGGGACTGGCTGGCTCAAGCTGCAGGTTTAGAGATCTGGGGACAGGCCAAGAATCTCTTATTTCACTGAGCAGACAGATTCAAAGTTGCCTGTTGTGTTCCACAGTACAAATGTGTATTGGGAAAGGCTAGACCAGCACCTCCCAAAGTTCATGCAAGGAGCAGCCTGGATGAACTTCTGAACAGAGAGAACGTTCTGGCAATGCCGAGGCTGTGGACTAAGAGAAAGCGCCGTGTGCAAGCTCAGCTTACGGGGTGGTTGTCTTCTCCCTGAGCAAGACTGCTGTCTTCCAGAGATGCCAGGTGCACTGGATTCGGGCCAGCAGGGCTTCAGGATGATCTCATCTTAGTTACATTCACAGAGATCCTGCTTCCAAATAAGGTTACAGTCATGTCCTGCAGGTTAGGACTCTGAGTTGCCTTTCTGGGTAATCAATTAAGTCCAGCTCAAAAGCTCCAAGGCCTGGCAGACATGTAGAGGCCTGGAGCCAGGTGACCCAGGACCCAGGCAGGCGTGAAGGCCCAACACACACCTTCTGAGACTAAGGCAGGGCTGGGGAAGAGGGATGCTCAGGAAGGCCCCAAGCCCTGTGCACTAGAATCCTGGAAGCTTGGAGTAGAGGCCAGATGTGTTCCACAGGGAGTCCTGAGAGGCCCCAGGTCCCTGTGCGTTATGAGTATACTATGCCAGAAATGTGGACAGACACGTTTGTGTCAGAATGGATAGAATGACAACAAATTCACGGGGTTCAGTAGTTTCAGAATGCAAGAATTCTCCATGTAACCCCACCTACTCCAGTAACCTAGCCAAGGTGAAGGCAAGTTCATTTATTCCAATCTTAATTACTAAAGCAACTCTTATCACCTATCACGCAGCACACAGTGAATCTCTGTGTGTTTATACATAGATATGTGGTTTAGGGACTGAACACACGTTAAAGAGGCTGCAGCCGGCTTCAGAGAAAGCCCTCAGAGCTGGGAGAGGCTGCACTGATAACAAATAAAACCCGCGTTGAGGGGGGAACTGCCACACTCAGGGTTTGAGAACCAAGCTGTAAAATCTACCCACGAGGTGACAGGTAAAAGGTGAAAGGCCAAAGCAAGTTCCAAGAACAGGAAATGATGGGTTCAGGGCCCGGTCCAGAGGGACAAAAAGATGGGTGGGCGTGGAGTCAAGTAGGGTGCATCAACGGCAGAGGACAGGGTCAAGCGAAAGCTGTAGTGATAGTTGGGGAATCCTCTGCTTGCTTGTCCTTGATGTGTACACCAGGTATCAGGTGACCGGATGAGGTAAGGCCAGGTCATCGAAGTGCTAGGCCTTCATCACTTTAACGGGACCCAGCTGAGGGAGTTATTCCCTTTTCTCGAACTGTCAACGTTGGGTAAGTTCTTGGGCCTGGTTTCCTTGAGATGGCTTTAATGCCCCACATGCATCTATAGTCTGAGCTCATCCTGGTGAATTTATAAGGTGGCTTCCTTTCTACTCCCAGGAATAAGCTGTTTCAGTCAGTGCTGTGGCTGGTGCCTGATGTGATGGTGCTGTGGTGGAGCCACCCATGGCCTGCAGTCTACTTCCCTCAAAATGGCAAAAACCAAAATGGCAAATGGAGTCTCCTAGTTTTCTATGCACAGCCTAAAGAAAACGACAAAACAAAACACTGTTTTGCACAATATAGTGTAACTTAAAGTAAGGCACAGGCTGGTCTCTTGCATTGTCTAAGTTTTTGGGGGCAGCCTGTCTTTGTTTGGGGGGGGAGGGTATTATTGAGCAGGGTTTCTCTGTATAGCAGCCAGGACTGTCATGGAACTCACTCTGTAAACTGGGCTGGCCTTGAACTCGCAGAGATCCACCTCCCTCTGCCTCCTGAATGCTGGTGTGAAAAGCGTGCACCACCAGAGCAGCCTGTCTTAATCCATCTTGAGGACAGGGCTTTTCCCCCCAACAATAGGTTTGCTCATTCCTTTGGAGGGCCCTTGGCTACCATGGACCTCTGTGGCTGCTCAGGGAACCTCCTGTCCTCACATCTGGGTGTGGATTCAGGACTCAGTCAGCTTAGAAGGACCTGTGTCTGACCCCCATGATTGTATCTTTCTCACCTGCCCAGTCTATTCAGGGTCCCTGACTGAGTCTTTCTGTTCCCTACAGGACACAAGTGGACCCTGGGCAAGTTCTGCGCTACCAGTTGTCCGTGATGAATGGCCAGGCCCCTCCTCGTGATGTCGTGGTTGCCAACGGCACCGAGCAGTCAACTGTCCCTACAATCATGACACACCAGATGGGAGCCTGCACTCCTTCCTGGCCCCAAGCAGCGGCTGCCCCGCCTACCACAGTCAGAAGTATTGCTGGGGTGTATGTGGAGGCCTCAGGGCAGACCCAGAGCTTTTATGCTGCCATGAAGCAGGGCCTCCTGCCCACTGGGCTTGGGTTGGCTTTGCTTGAGGCCCAGGCAGCCACTGGGGGCCTCGTGGACCTTGCCCAGGGCCAGCTGCTTCCTGTGTCTGAGGCCCTAAGGCGGGGTCTGGTGGGACTGGAGCTAAAGGAGAAATTGTTGGCTGCTGAGCGCGCAGTTACTGGCTATCCCGACCCCTATGGGGGTGGAAAGCTGGCCCTCTTCCAGGCCATCAGGAAGGAAGTTGTAGACAGGACCCTGGGGCAGAGATGGCTGGAGGTCCAGCTAGCTACTGGGGGCCTAATGGACCCATCCCAGGGTGTGAAAGTGGCTCCAGAGCTAGCCTGCCAGCAGGGCCTTTTAGATAAGGAGACATGGCTCAGCCTGTTAGAGTCAGAGTCCAGCTCGGGTGCCCCAGGTTTCTTTGACCCCAACACACTGGAGCAGCTACCATACTGCACGCTGCTGGGGAGGTGCGTGCAAGACCCCAGCTCGGGGCTGCCTCTATTGCCCTTGAAGACCACCTTCCGCACCCTGAGTGGGGCAGCCAGCGCGTCAATGCTGCTGGAGGCAGGAGTACTAGATGAGGAGACAGTCCGAGGCCTACAGGAGGGCACGCTGGTGGTGGCAGATGTGGGCACACGTCCCGAGGTGCAGCGCTATCTGGAGGGTACTGGGGGGCTGGCGGGGGTTGTCTTGTTACCCGGAGGCCACAAGAAGAGCTTTTTCCAGGCTACAGTTGAACACTTGCTCTCAAGGGGCATTGCACTGCAACTCTTAGAGGCCCAGGCTGCCACCCGCACCCTCGTGCACCCAGCCACAGGCCAGCGTCTTTGGGTGGAAGAGGCGGTCAAGGCAGGCCTGGTTGGTCCAGAACTCCATGAGCAGCTCCTGGTGGCAGAGCAGGCGGTGACAGGGTACTACGACCCCTTCAGCAGCTCCCGCGTCCCCCTTTTCCAGGCTATGAAGAAGGAGCTTGTGGACCAGCCCCTGGCTCTGCGCCTCCTGGATGCCCAGTTGGCCACAGGTGGCCTTATATGCCCAGCCCGTAAATTCCGGCTGCCCTTGGAGGCTGCCCTGCGCTTTGGCTGCCTAGATGAAGAGACTCAGCAATGTCTCTCTCAGGCAACGGGCTTTTTAGATCCCACCACACATGATAGCCTTCACTATGAGCAGCTCTTGGTCCTCTCTGTCACTGACCCAGAGACAGGGCTTGCTTTCCTGCCCCTCCCTGGAGAACCCCATGCAAATGAGCCCCAGGGACCCACATTCATCGATCATTGTACTCGGCAGGTCTTGAGCAAAGCTACAACCTCCATCTCTGTAGGGAGGTACCAGGGCCGACCTGTATCCCTCTGGGAACTGCTCTTTTCTGATGCAGTTCCCGTTAAGCAGAGGGCAATGCTTGCCCAGCAGCACCAGGAAGGGGCCCTGTCAGTGGAGGAGCTGGCAGCTGAGCTGAAGACCATTGTTGAGCAGGCTGCAGCCACTGCCAAAGTCACTTTTGCTGGGTTGAGGGACACCGTGACACCAGGAGAACTGCTGAAGGCTGAGATAATCAACCAGGACCTGTTTGAGCAGCTGGAACGTGGACAGACCTCAGCCCAAGATGTGGGCAACCTGGATTCGGTGCAGAGGTACTTGCAGGGCACAGGTTGCATTGCAGGCCTATTGCTGCCTGACTCCCAAGAACGCCTCAGTATTTACGAGGCCCGTAGCAAGGGCCTCCTCAGGCCCGGGACTGCTCTGATCTTGCTTGAGGCCCAAGCTGCCACGGGCTTTATCATTGACCCAAAAGAGAACAAGAGATACTCTGTGGAGGAGGCACTGAGGGCTGGTGTCATTGGGCCCGATGTATATGCAAAACTGCTGTCTGCAGAACGTGCAGTGACCGGCTACACAGACCCCTACTCTGGGGAGCAGATCTCACTCTTCCAGGCCATGCAGAGGGACCTTATTGTCAGAGACCATGGCATCCGCCTGCTGGAGGCCCAGATTGCTACGGGTGGTGTCATTGACCCTGTGCACAGCCACCGTGTGCCTGTGGATGTGGCCTACCAGCGCGGCTACTTTGACCAGATGCTGAACTCTATCCTGTTGGACCCGTCTGATGACACCAAGGGCTTCTTCGACCCCAACACGCACGAGAACCTCACCTACCTGCAGCTGCTGGAGCGCTGTGTACATGACCCCGAGACGGGCCTGCACCTCCTGCCCCTGAGCAGTACACGACCCCAGCTGGTAGATAGCTCCACCCGGCAGGCCTTCCAGAACCTGCTGCTATCCGTGAGATATGGACGGTTCCGGGGGCGAAGAGTTTCTGCGTGGGAGTTGATTAACTCGGAATACTTCAGAGAGGACTGGAGGAGGCAGCTGCTGCAGCGTTATCGGCGGCGCAAGGTCACGCTGGAGCAGGTCACTCAGCTGCTGGAGGAAGAGATGAGGAGGTGGGCGGACATCACACTGCCTGCGCTACAGGGCCGCGTCACGGCCTACCAGCTCCTGGAGGCCCGCATCATCACCCAGGAGCTCCTGGACCAGGTTTTGACAGGAGCGGTCAGCCCAGACGCCCTTCTTCACATGGACCATGTTCGCAGGTACCTTCGGGGCTCAGGCACTGTAGGCGGTGTGCTCTTACAACCCTCTAACCAGCGGCTCAGTCTCTACCAGGCCATGAGGCAGAAGCTCCTGGCGCCTAGCGTAGCCCTGGCTTTGCTGGAGGCCCAGGCAGCCACGGGAGCCATCACGGACCCCCGCAGTCTGGAGACCCTGTCCGTAGATGAGGCTGTGTGCAGGGGAGTGGTGGGAGCAGAGGTGTATGGCAAGCTGAAACGAGCAGAGCATTCTATCACTGGCTACAGAGACCCCTTTTCTGGGAAGAAGGTGTCCCTGTTCAGGGCCATGAAGAAGGGCCTTATCCCTGTGGAGCAGGCAACCCGCCTACTAGAGGCCCAGGTATCCACCGGAGGGGTCGTTGATCCCACAACCCACCTCCATCTCCCCATGCCCATGGCAGTCCAGCGTGGCTGCATCGATCCGGAGATGGAAGTGACCTTGTCCAGCTCTCCTGAGACCTTCCCCACACCTGATGGCCGGGGACACACCAGCTATGCCCAGCTTCTGGAGCAGTGTCTCCAGGACAAAGCCTCTGGGCTTCACCTCCTGCCTCTGACAGAAGATGCTCCTACAGTCCCCACAGACACACAGATCCAGGAGACCCTGCAGGCCTCAGCTGGCACCGATGATGGTTTGTCCCTCTGGGACCTGCTCACCTCTTGCTACTTTACTGAGGAGCAGCGCAGAGGGTTCCTTGAGGATGTGAGGGTCGGGAAGACTTCTGTGCCGCAGCTACAGGACACTGTGCGCGCCTGGGTGCAGGAAGCAAAGCTCCTGGCCCGGGCCCACATCACTGTGCCGGGCCCTCGGGGTGAGGTCCCTGCCATTTGGCTAAGAGATGCTGGTGTTATCACCCAAGAGACACTGGAAACGCTGGCACAGGGCGCGCAGTCACCTGCTGAGGTAGCCAAACAGCCTGCTGTGAAGGCCTGCCTCTGGGGCACAGGCTGTGTGGCCGGTGTGCTGCTGCAGCCCTCGGGGACCAAGATGAGCATTGCCCAGGCTGTAAAAGATGGCCTCCTGCCCACAGGCCTCGGCCAGCAGCTGCTGGAGGCCCAAGTGGCGTCTGGCTTCCTTGTCAATCCGCTAACCAACCAGAGATTGTCAGTGGAGGGTGCAGTGAAGGCTGGCCTGGTGGGCAGGGAGCTGAGCGAACAGCTTAGGCAAGCAGAAAGGGCTGTGATGGGATACCCAGACCCCTATTCAGGAGGCTCCCTCTCTCTATGGCAGGCCATGGAGAAGGGGCTTGTACCCCAGAGTGAGGCTTTTCCTCTCCTGCAAGTACAGCTGGCCACAGGGGGTGTTGTGGACCCTGTCCATGGAGTGCACCTGCCCCAGGCAGCGGCCTACAAGCTTGGCCTCCTAGACGAACCGACCAGCCAGATGCTGGCCACCACTGAGAAGGAAAACAAGCTCTTTTTTGACCCCAACTCCCATGAAAAGGTGACATACCAGCAGCTCAAGGAACTCTGTGTGCTGGATGCTGACACTGGCCTGTGGCTGCTGCCACTGACCCAGAACACTGTGCTTGAAGTGGATGACCACACTGCAGTGGCTCTGAGGGCCATGAAGGTGCCCATCAGCATGGGGAGGTTCCAAGGACACAGCGTGTCACTCTGGGACCTGCTACACTCTGAGTACGTTGGAGCCGAAAAGCGGAGGGAGCTGGTGGCACTTTGTTGTTCCGGGAGGGCTGCTGCCCTGAGGCAGGTCATCAGTATGGTCACCACCCTGGTGGAGGCTGCAGAGAAGCAGCCCCCACAGGCCACCTTCAAAGGGCTCCGGAAGCAGGTTTCAGCTGGGGACTTGTTTAGGTCCCAGCTGATCAACAAGCAGACGCTGGATGAACTCAATCAGGGGAAGAGGACAGTCCAGGAAGTGACAGAGATGGACAGTGTGAGGAGGTCCCTGGAAGGAGGCAACTTCATCGCTGGAGTCCTTATTCAGGACACGAAAGAGAGGATGAGCATCCCGGAGGCCTTGAGAAGGCGCATTCTGAGGCCAGGCACAGCCCTGGTGCTGCTGGAAGCTCAGGCAGCCACCGGTTTCATCATTGACCCTGTGGAGAACCGGAGGCTAACTGTAGAGCAGGCCTTCCAGGCAGGGATGTTTGGCAAGGAAACCTACACAAAGCTCTTATCAGCCGAGCGTGCTGTCACTGGGTACACGGACCCTTACACTGGAGAACAGATCTCACTCTTTCAGGCCATGCAGAGGGACCTGATCGTCAAGGACCATGGCATCCGCCTGCTGGAGGCCCAGATTGCCACGGGCGGCATCATCGACCCAGTCCACAGCCACCGCGTGCCTGTGGACGTGGCCTACCAGCGTGGCTACTTCAATGAGGAGATGAACCGCATCTTGGCTGACCCAAGCGATGACACCAAGGGCTTCTTTGACCCCAACACTCACGAGAACCTCACCTACCTGCAGCTGCTGGAACACTGCGTGGAGGACCCCGAGACGGGCCTGTTCATGTTGGAAATTGTAAAGAAAGGAGAAACCTGCACATACATCGATGAGGCCACAAGGCAAGCTCTGAGGTCCAGAACTATGAAAATGTACTTAGGGAAGTTTGCAGGCCAGACGGTGTCTGTGTGGGACCTGCTCTCCTCCCAGTATTTTACAGAAGGAAGGAAAAGAAAGCTTTTGCGGGACTACAGAGCCCAGAACATAGGCCTAGAGAAACTTCTGGAGGTTATCACCTCCACAGTGGAAGAAACAGAGAAGCAAAACCAAAAATTCAAGGTGGCAGGCATACATGGCGAAGTGACAGCCACGGAGCTGTTCAACGCTGGGATCCTCGACAGGAAGATGCTGGACGCACTTCACGGTGGGGAGAGGAGGAGTCAGGACCTCAGCAGGCTGGAGCAGGTAAAGAGCTACCTAGAAGGCAGCAGCTGCATTGCTGGGGTGACCACACCCCTAACTCGGGAAGTGATGAGTCTCTATGCAGCCGGCAGGGAAGAACTCATCCCGGCAGGGTTTGCGGCTCAGTTGCTGGAGGCACAGGCTGCCACCGGGTACCTAATGGACCCCTGTACCCACCAGAGGCTGAGTGTGGATGAGGCCATCGCATCTGGCCTGGTGGGTGAAGACCTGAGAGAAAGACTTGTGAATGCAGAGAAGGCAGCGAAGGGCTACGAAGACCCAGCCACTGGGGAGACTATCCCACTGTTCCAGGCCATGGAGAAGAAGTTGGTCAGGAGGGAGGAAGCACTGAGGCTTCTGGAGGTGCAGGTGGCCACAGGCGGGGTCGTTGACCCACTTCACCACCACCGCGTGCCCCTGGAGGTAGCCTGCAGGCGAGGCTGTCTCTGTGATGACATGGTAGTCCTTGTTGCTGATCAGAAACACATGAGGAAAAGGTTTGTGGATCCCAACACGCAGGAGAAGGTCACATACCAGGAGCTGCAGGACAGGTGCCAGAGGGAGGAGAAGTCAGGCTGGGCTCTGTTCCCAGTGGTCAAGGACAAAAAGAACATGGAGTATGTTGACGAGGCCACCAAAAGGGCCCTGGAGGCAGAGCAGGTGGAGGTGACTGTGGGGAGGTACAGAGGCCAGAGGATATCTGTGTGGGAGCTCCTGAACTCAGAGTATGTGTCACAGGACAAAAAGATGGAGTTAGTTAGGCTATACAAAGAAGACACAGAGCGGGCACTGCAGAAAGTGGTAAAACTTATCCTACAAATGATTGCAGACAAGGAGGGGAAAAGCCGGCAGCTCTGGTTCCGAGGATTACGAATGCAGGTGACAGCAGAGGAATTGCTCAGCTCAGCCGTCATCACAAAGCAGACCCTGAAGGACCTGGAAGAAGGCAGAACCACAGTAGATCAGATTGAAAGGAATGAAGATGTGAGGAGATACCTCAAAGGCACCAGCTGCATTGCGGGCGTCCTGGTGCCCGTGCAGGGAGAGCCTGGGCGCCAGGAGAAGATGAGCATCTATCAGGCCATGTGGAAGGGCGTGCTGAGGCCTGGCACGGCCCTGGTGCTGCTGGAGGCCCAGGCGGCCACCGGCTTCATCATCGACCCGGTGCACAACCGCAGGCTGTCTGTGGAGGAGGCTGTGGCAGCAGGCGTGGTGGGGGGCGAGGTCCAGGAGAAGCTGCTGTCTGCTGAGCGGGCGGTCACGGGCTACACGGACCCCTATACCGGGGAGCAGATCTCCCTCTTCCAGGCCATGCAGAGGGACCTGATC